GCAGCCGCGCGCCGCGCTCGCCATTAGCATCGCGCTTCGTTGTCGATCGCTCTGGTGATCGAATGCGCGATCGCCGCCGATTCGTCATATCGTCGCGGAGCCTGTCACGCGTTTTCCCGCGGGAATCCCGCAGGCCCGAGCTCGCGCGAACCTCGTCTGGCTGCGCGACCAATCTTGCGAAAGAAGCAGTATAAATCACCGCATGCTTAATTTTGTATTATTTTATCGTGGACGACCGTTAAAGCGCGTTTACGCCGGCAATAACTTCGCTAATGACTTGTGTTTTCAGCGATCTTATCGACGATTTTGCACGGGGAGGAGTGCAAGTCGTCGCATGTTTAATTTTGTATTACTTTGTCGTAGGCGGCCGTTAAAGCTCGTTTACACCGGCGATAACTCTGCTAATGACGCTTTTCTAATGTTTTTAGCGATGGTGTTCCGCGTGTGAAGAAATACGATTATGGTATGTCTAATTTTGCATTATTTTATCAATAACGATATAATGATTACAAATAACGCAACAGGTACAAATTACTTTCAAACCTCGAGAGACCTCTCTGGAAGTTCGATTTCGTTCGTAAAGATGCGCTTCGCATTCGCAGTTCGTTTTTAATCTTTAAAGGCCAAAAATATATGCTTGGAAGAATGTTTAACACTTTTTCGTCTGTTTCGCTGAATTGTTATCAATTCCGATGTGTAACGCTTACACAACAGCTGATGAATCTATTTCAGAGAACAAAGTCGTCCACGAAATCAGCAAGAAAGATAAAAAAAAACTGAAAATAAAGAGAAAAACGATAATAGCTCGTTTGTATTTAGAACAAATATTTATCTTAGAAAATTTTTATATCAAGAGCTACTATTGTCTTAAAAATGAACTTTGAGAATTCTACCCGAGTCACCCTCTCCAAAATTTACTGGTTCGTTCCAGCCTCCTCATTATGTACTCACATCGAGCCACTTCACAGAGAACGCCTGCATTATACAATTACAAGACAGAGATTGGTCGCAATATTCTGATTGTTTTTAATAATTCATATATATTTCCTCGAACGGGAAAAGGTCGTGCGAGTTAATCGTCTACGGTTAAAGGGTCAAATTTCTCGTCGGAAATGGAGCGAATTAAACTCTCGGCCGGACAAGTAGATACGGACCGGAGGTGGTCGGACAGACCGCCAATAAAACGAACGTAAACGCGAGCGGCGATAGTTGCAGAACGGGAGCGCGACTGGCCGGCTCTCGTTTACGACAGCGAAGCGTGCGGTCTCCCGAGCGCTTGGATTTTTCAAAAAGGGACGCGCCAGTTGCGCGCGAGACCCGTTTCCTTGTAAAAGTACACAACACGGAGCGTGTGCTGAAATTGTTATGTAAATCGCCGCGCTCGTTCGGTCGGTCGCGCTAAAGCACACGGAGAGCGAAGGAAAGAGAGACTCTCTCTCTCTCTCTCTCTCTCTCTCTCTCTCTCTCTCTCTCACCCGGTTGCACCCGGCTGGACGAGAGTCGCGCGGCCCCTTGATAAATATGCTATTGCGTTAAATTCGCCATAATTGTATCATTTCATTTGCCGTTCGATCTTATAGAGCGTTCTCTGTTAAAGGCGCGCGTTAGGTGACCCGGCGGAACGAGCGGCGCGCGCTTGCTGGATATCGATAGTAACTTGATTTACGCCGTCGTCGTCGCCGGCGTCGAGAGCGAAACGCGGCTCACAATTAGATCTCTCGCTGTTAGATAACGTCCGTGAGCGATCGGCGTCGGCCATGAAGAATGCGATCGCGATCGCGAGGCCGACAGGGTGAGTTCGCCGGCGTGGGTGTCGCCGGTCCCAGAGGACGACGTTTCTTTCACTCCGGCGATTCGACACGTTAGCCGTTACAATTTACTTGAGGAACTCCCCCTAACACCGCGTTTTTTCGTTATTCGTCCTTACGTGATTGTGTAAAATCGACTCGGCTCGTTTATGTATGGGAGAGAAAATCTGTCATTATCACGCGTATGTAACGCGATCCATTTCTGTCGGAGCGGTAAAGCGGTACAGGTCTTTGAAAAAATATCTTATGCAAGGGCAAGTTTACTTGTTTATTCATTCCCTTTAGTTTCATTCAACTTCCATTCAAAATGTATAAGATATACCATCGTTGTAGAAGTGTCCGAGTAATTTTTGAAAGGAATCAGGTGGTTAGACACATCTCGAAAAATTCTTTTCTTAGAAATATTTTTAAATTTCAACAATACATATCTCGATGGAAAGGCGTAGAATAATCGGGATCAAATATTGCATAGATGATATGTACGAAACGGACGCTAATATCACGTTTTTAATTCCAACAACCAAATTAATCTTACGTTTTTAATAAAGAAAGAGAAGGCGATGAGAGAGAAACTTGCACAAATATTATAAAAATATTATAAAGGATTATAAATATCGAATGATATGGAAAGCACACCATCTCTGATAAAACGGTTAATGTATCTGATAGCCGATCTCTCCATTTCTCTAATAGCGTTTTGCATTGTGCGTTTACCGGTGCGCACGATATTTTTGCACAAATACATAACGCAGGCGAGTACCTGCCAACAGTATTATTCGTTACGCGAGAAACGATTATTTCCCTATGTGGTCTCCAATATTACGTAAGTTTGATTAATATTCCCTCGCGATAGTGTCAAACTTGCACATCATAAATCACCACCTATAAACCTCCAACGTTCGGACTTCCTCGCGTTGTATCGATCATTAATTTCTTCATTTCAGCATTATCGCGGGCCGATAATCTTCAGTGAAACGGAAAATTCTGAGGAAAGATGAGAATGAAATGAGAGAGGTCGGTGCGCGACATTGACAGCGAATCTGTTAACTTCCGACGTCGAATGTGCGACGGAGATTTTCAGCGATTTCGCCGCCGGCGCTTCCGGTCCAGCGCAGCTGGGCGAAGAGACAAACGAGGCAGCTCGCGTCACTGTGCTTTCTATTAATTAGCGTTCGGCGAAATATAAATGACCGCGAGAAACCGCTCGCGCGCGTCTTCGACCCAGTTCGCTAGAGAACATCCGTTTGCCAAGCGCGAATTATCCGAAGCGATAAACGGGAAATCCGCCGTTTATCCGCGACGAATCCGCACGTGAATCTCTTTCTCTCTCTCCCTCTTCATGTCAAGTTTCTCGCAGGAATGCGCGATATCGCCGCGTCGATGGTAGCCGTCGTCGCCGAGAGTGTGTTGAACGACGGCGATCGCCGGCTGTGAGTAAGAAAGTACGAATAGAAAAGAAAGCCTGTAATAATGGTATCGCGCATATAACTCTTGACGGCGATCGTGATTGTAACTCGCGGCGCAGAACGACGCGCTTATCGGTAATTTAGCCACTCGTTTCTAATGAACTGGTTCGCTCATGTTACATGAAAATATTCCCCGCGCCGAGTGCTCGGGATATCTACCGTTCATCTACTTCTACTTAAAAATGTGCAATGCGTATTGCAGCTCTCGGCTGGTATTATGCCTCGCTCCGCGATCGCGGCTGGATCGTGCCCCAAAGTTGGAGTCGTCACAATCAGCAGGTACCTTTTTGCGTAGTTACTCGAAGTGTCCGCGAGAAGCTTGTTACGAGATAATTAGACCGCCTGATTTTGCTCGCTCGCTCACGAGCGAGAGAGGAAACAGGAAAAATCAATCAAAGCTGGCATCAAATCACACTAATAGAGGCGTATTAGTCAAGACAGAGGTGATTAAGTGTGGCAACAAGTTCGTCGGCGGCAGCTCGCATGATCATTAAGTGGGCGATATTTTACACGGCGAATCGGCAAATCCTATACGGTAATCTCCCGGCTCTGAAGTCCGCTTTCGTCCTCAATGTTTGGTCTGTTCTTTTTACCTGCGCTACTGAACTGCTGCGACGAGCTAAAGTGAGAAAAAATATAGTTGCCTCGTTCTAACTTATTGCACTAGTTCCGCAGTGCAGCTAAAAAGAACAGACCACGTTATCAGCGCGCGCGCGCGCGCCGACAACGTTTTTCCGGCAAACGTGAACGTGAAAATTCGCGACGCCGGCCAAGCCGGACGCGCCGATGCGCAACAGGTGGTTGAGGCTCGTCGAGGATCGACACCGCTCCGGCGCGGCTCGCGCGAGCGGTGAATTCGTAACGGGACCAGCGGGTGTTATCCTTACAAGTAGGCGCGTAATTACGGCGCAATAAACGACGCCGGGCTAACGCGCCGCCTAGCCGCGCCGTTAGTTTCTCGAGCGCGTCGATTTCCTCGAGCGCGCGCGGCGGCAGTAGAAAAAGACAGCCGCTCTGAGCCCGCGCGGAAAATTGGCCTCTCGCGCCGCGGCGAGAGTAACCTAGCGAGAAAATGACCGCGCGGGGAGGCACGTTAATTTGCAACTTTCCTTAATCGCCCGCCGTTCTCGGAGAGGCATCTCGGATACCTGCCCATTCGTGGACGTGGCCTGATAATTGCTCGGTCATCCTTCCAAGCCTTCGCGTACGTGTGAACGTACGGCCTCGCATTTCCGTCGATATGGAATATACACCCTTATATGTCCATTAACGCGTTCGCTGACGATTATTTCAAATGCTACATTCGCTTTGGGTCGTCGGATATGTCGGCAAATGAATGCAATCCGCGGTATATATCTCTTAGCTCGTTTCATTGGCTTTCTATCGGCCGTGTACGAAGTGTTTCAGAGACAAGTGGCCCGATTTTAAGAGCATATTCTACTCACTGTAAGGATGAAAGAAAATCATAAGCACGCTTTTGACTCGCAAATAACGCGTAGATCTCGTTTTTGTAGGGAAAAGTGAGCGATTAATACGGTGCCCGAAGAATCTAAGCTGAACGTTTATAAATATGATGTATAATTTTGATACTATCGCGTTTTAACGTGTAATGTTAGACGCACACTGAAGGACGCTAGAGAAATTATGGGTTTAGCTGCGAACTGTATTCGTCAACTGCAATCAGAATGTGTTGTACACCTTCCAGATGAGTTTCTCGAAAACTTACAACGATCTCGCGAACTGCGTGTATTTCTACAAATTTCCTTCGCCGTCTTCCTCTTCTTCACTAAGAGCGTAAGAATAATTCGGCCCCGCTGGAACTGAAAACGTGATGTTGGCATCCGTCTCGTATCCGCGATACGTGTAACTTTGGCTTCGATTATCTCAGCTTCGGTACGGTCAATCTTCCGCTACTTGTCCGCATACGTGCGGATCATGTCTCCCCATTGATATATTCTCAACTTGAAAGGATTCCTTGGAAAACGGGTCCACGGACCGAACATCTCAGTTACTTCTGACTTCAGTTCAACGCTTCAACGGAGAGAACCTTTCGAGATTATCAACTCTCTTCAAATAAGAAGCGCGAAGTGTCACCGATCTGTGACTCGCGCCCGCCGACTAACGATTATCCTCGCGATCGATCCTGGATCGATCGTCTCTTTCGTTCGATGATCTTCGCCAAAGAGTCTCTGTCTCACTTTCTCTCTCCCTCCCTCCCTCTCTCTCTCTCTCTCTCTCTCTCTCTCTCTCTCTCTCTCTCTTTCTTACTCGCTCTCTTTCACTCTCTCTCTCTCTCTCTCTCTCTCTCTCTCTCTCTCTCTCTTCCTGATTCAATCACTATTCTTTCAGCAAGAGGAGCTGTCGAAGCCCGCGGACACACCTGTCTTCGCGCATGTTAACCCACGCGGATAATTGCCGTCGTACGCGTCGAGGGTCATGCTGCTGTCCCGAGGCGGCGCGAGTTCCTCATCCTCGGACCGGACGCCGACGAGTGATCGTCGGATTGGATTCGCGAGTATCCACCGAAAAACCGACACACAGCGAACACTTTCTCCTGCCGCGGCACGGCCGCGCGACACCAACACGTCCGCCGCCGCTTCGTCGGCTTCCTCGAGTCTAGATCGGCGAGAGGGAGCTCGCGTTGCCACGTGCCGCGGGAACGTAAGTTATGATGATGTCTTTCGTAAGTGGTGAATTTTTGATCGCGAACTCCGCGGCTGTGATACGTGATACTGATCGCGAAACAACGGTCTAAGAAATCTGGAGGACTTCCCCTTGCCCGTCGAGTCGACAAATTCCGTCCCTTTCCCGACCGGATTTCTCGGACTTCTACACACACTGTTTTTCTCGCGTCGTCAAGCGGGGCCCAGCTGATCGGTTCGATACTTGGCGTTCGTCGTATTATGAGATTCTCGTTTCCTCTGGTTCCTTTTCTTCAATTTTTCAAGCAAGGTACCGCCGTCCGGCACGGCGAGGTCTCGGAGCACAGAGTCGGATCCTGTTTCCTTTTCGCGCACCAATCACTTGCCAGGATCCGAGGGCACCGTATCGAACCGAGGAACGATCCGGGATCAACGTCGAGTTTAGTCAACCTCGCTCCGTAGAAGCGGTCGTCAGACTAAAGTCGTCGCACCGCTGGTAAGAGTACGTGCATGGGTTTCTTATCCCTTCTGTTAGCACGAAATCCCCTCTTTCTCTCTCCTTCGTCCACAGGAGCCTACACTCTCTCTCGTTCCGCGGCCGCTATCTCGCTAGAAATTCGTCGGATCCATTGCACTATACGAGAAATTATTAGTGATTTTTCGGAAATGCGCCATCCTTCATCAGCTCCGTAAATTTTCCTCCGGGAGACATCCAGAAGCGCATGCGAAAGTGAATCTCGTCCGATGAAAGGATATCGATTCATGTGACATGTGTATTTTTATTATTATATAATTGTCCAGATTTCTATATAAATTAGACCTTAAAATTATCATCAATCACGATAAAAAGCATTGGAAATATCAAAATGATTAATAATCTATAATTAATAATAATTAAAATAATAAAAAATTAAAATAATAAAATAATAATAAAAAAATTAAAATAATAATAAAAAAATAATAAAAAAACTTGCCGTTATTAAACCAAAAAATTTGACATTCAGAAATTAAATCGGAATCTGAAAAATTGGAATTAAATTGGAATAGTTATTATATTTAATATTTTCAGTAGCAGCAAGTCTAAACTTTATTGCGTTTGAATTTTTTTTAGATTGGTTAAAAAACAAATTGTCAAAGACTAAGGACAGAGTTGATTCAATGCAGAAAATGAAAACTTTTCCGCAGGAGTAAATTAAATGGCTCTGAATGTCTTATATGTCTTGCTCGTTTCTAGGTCTTTGCCAATAATCGCTTTAAATCAAAGTTATAATGCAATCTTGCTCACGTGACTTCTTATCAAAATCAATGCGTGAGGTAATACCGGAATAAATAATTTATAAATCGTTCGGGGGCCCCGACGTGGGATTCTGCTCGGGATTAGGCAGATTTCATCTCGAGCGAGCGACGCCCGCTCCGTATTACGCAAACGCGGTTCTCACGCATTTTTCGTGCGCGCGTCCGCGGAACGTCGTAAATCGTCATTTACGAGTCGCCGCCGCCGCCGCCGCCGCCGCCGCCGCCGCCATCGCCGTCGCCGTCGCTGTGTAATAATTACCCCAACGAAAGAAGACGAAGAAAGCGCGGCCGTAAGGTACCGCGAGACGCCACCGTTGTCGATGTGAAGGCAAAGTTCAGCAAGAAGTGTCCGCTATTAACGTCATTCTCAATAGCCATCGCCGAAATCGCGCGCTCGTTCTCGACGGTCTTAATAAGCGCCCTGTCGACAACGCTAAAGGAAACTCGCGAAAGATAGACGCAAAAATGGCCGAAGCGTTGCAATTCTCGTATTTACCTCTGGGCGCTTAATCGTCTTTTAAGAGCGCGAAAGAACTCGCTTTAAATAATACGTCAAGAGAATGTTAAAAAATGTCAATTTTTCTAATTTGCTTTCATGCTTTCCCCTTTGCTTCTTACAAAAAATTTTGTAAAATGCAAAATTAACGCGGAAATTTTACGTTAAATTTAACCTATATACCAGGATATTTCCAAACTTTCTCGATTATATTTATTTATCTGCATTTTTGTATTACATTTTTATATTGCATATTACATTTTTCTTTTGAAGAAAAGAGATATTGAGTAGTTTTAAAAGCGTCTTTTCTTTATTGTAACATCTTATCTCGAAATGTACAATGTTACAGTTCCTTTCTTTCCTTCAGTACATATGACTTGAAAAAATCAACGGGGAAGCTTTAAGTAAAACAATAACATTTTTAACTATTGGGTGTACAAATTAGTTCGGTTCGTTTTCAAAAGATGGTTCCGGCTGTTATGAATGGTTCACAGTGACTGCCGATTTTGGCGGTTTCAGAGAGGTTAGACATCTGCCAATAATATTCAGTTTATATCGCTTTGAGTTTCATACAAAAACCCTGCTTTTTACAGTGTTGAAAATGTCGAATTTTGTGTTAACCAAACAGCATTTGCGGGAGGTTTTAAATTTCTGCTTTAATTGGAAGAAAAGTGCAGCTGAAGCCCATCGAATGCTTGGTGAAGTTTATGGTGACGCTGCTCCAACTAATAAATCATGTAGGGAATAGTTTCGACGTTTCAAGGATGGATATTTCAGCGTCGAAGACAAGCCTCGCTCTGGACAGCCAAAAAAATTTGAGGACAAAGAATTAGAGGCATTACTCGAAGAAGATCAGAGTCAAACGCAAGAGGAGCTTGCAGAATCATTGGGAGTGGACTCAACAAGCTGTTTCCGTACGATTGAGAGACATGGGAATTATTCAAAAACAACGAAATTGGGTGCCTTATGAACAGAAACCGAGAGACGTTGAAAGGCGTTCTTCGTGACAACGCTCGGCCTCATGTCGCAAAAGTCGTAAAAAAATATTTGGAAACGCTCGAGTGAGATTCTCCGGACTTTGCTCCTTCTGATTACTGGTTGTTCCGAAGGATGCAGCACGATTTGGCAGGTCACCGGTTCACTTCTTTCGCAGATATCGAAAATTGGCTCCAAATTTGGATCGCCTCAAAAGACGAGAGTCATTTTTTTGAGATGGAATTCGAAAATTGCCTGAGAAATGGGAGAAAGTAGTAGCCAGCGATGGAAAATACCTTAATTGATCTGTTCATTCATTTCGTTTTGAAATAAATATATCTTTTAACACAAAAAAACGGACCGAACTAATTTCTACTCCCAATATTATCTCAAAGCGATAACAATGTAGTTATCGAAGATACGTAGAGAATTTATTTCACACGACACACACATTCTTTTTCATTCTTTCTCTTTCAACAAAAATAAGATAGAATAGGATCTAAAAAATGCTCTTAAGGTAATTTGTCCGTGAAATGGAAGTTCGATTATCTCAGAAGAAATTGCAGCGAAAGTAAAAATAGAACATACACTACAAGAAATGTTGGACAAAGAGATACTTGGATATTTGGGTTAGGCACGAATTTGCATGGCAAGTTCGACTGGAAATAAGTTCTCCTTTTATTTTCAAGGGGCTCAACATTGAGATTAACAGCAAAAAATTATATCGATACTTTTTTTTATACAATGTCGTATCGGGAACCTAAGTGGAAAAATCATCAGTTGTACTTTTACTCGCCAGTACAACTTTGAACATAACGAAATGAAGCGTAACACGTTCGAACGGAATACAAGCATCGGTTTAAAAATAACCGAGTCTTATGGGAACGGCGTGGCAGCACAGTGAAATGGAAGTGTAGCAGACAGGCGGGAGTAAGAGGCCCGCAATGAGCCGAGAATCAGCCGAGAAAAGTGCGAGGGAAAAGTGAGCCGGGCGACCTTCGCGACAATTCACTCGCTACCTTCTGTGCAACCTCTCGAATTCAGCTCTTGCTCGGAGCTGCCCGACTTTTCGTCGGTGCATGTCCGGTCAGCATCGGCCGTAACTACTGTGGCCAGCTATTTACCGACGCCGAGGACACTGCGTCTCATCGTTCAAGAAGATACAAATACTCTGAACATGACACGATGTTGGAGTATAAATATATATCCACCGACTCTGTAAGTAAAATTTTAATCGACCAATCGACGAAACTGCTGAGATGGAAAGTTCAGCGTAGGCCACCAGGGTGGCCCACGCGGCACGGAAAATGTCAAACTACCGGCGGGAGAATAAAAATGTTTGACAGTGCAACATATACGACGAGGTCACTTCAAGTTTTTTAGCATACACGCAGCATTAATCAGTAGATCACCATTCCAAATCAGATCGATCGTGTGTGCATGTGTATGCGAACCTTTTAAATAATATTATCTCGCTCATTCCCTCGAAACTAATCGAAATAAATTTGTAGCGTCGCGAAAAGGATATTACCTACACACTTGCGTCATACGTGTCGATTTTATTCTCCCGCTTGAAGCTTGAATTATCATGTACAGGGTGTCTCACACGTCATAATCACCTGAAATATTTTCGACGCAGAAAATTAGATCATCGTCTGTCATTAATTGAGACATTGCGTTTGGAGACAAAAAGAAAGATTACCGTTGTCATACGAACGTGACAGCGATCTCTCTCTCTCTCTCTCTCTCTCTCTCTCTCTCTCTCTTTCTCTCTCTCTCTCTCTCTCTCGTAATAAATCGCCA